ATACATACATACATATGTATATATACATACATACACACATGCATGCATGCATGCACACATACATACATACATACATACATACATACATACATACATACATACACAAATAGATAGACACATACACTCATACATATGCATATGCATATGTACATTTCACATGCAGATACAGATACATGTGCATGATAATATACAGATACATAAATACATAGACACAAACAGAGAGGGAGAGAGAGAGAGAGAGAGATTGTGTGAGTGCGCATGTATGCAAAAACTACGTGCTGTTGCTACTACTACTACTACTACTACTACTACAACTACTACTACTAATAATAATAATACTACGACAAATAATCACTAATAGTAACAAAATAGGCAATATTAACTACGGTTGTTATTTATCGTATTGCTGCTATTGGTATACTCATCGTCATCCGTACTGTGAAACACCACACAAAAAGCAGGCCATTGGGACCAGAAAGTCAGGAGCACTGTCACGTGCAAACGGGCCTGAACTGCTTGAACAACACGGGTCGCAATTAGCTGCCATCTCGGTTTCTCCAGCATTTAGGCCATGTTACCACCTACGGCGACGACTTCGACCAGGACGACACGGACCAGGACCAGGAGACGAGACCAGCAAGTGACCACCATGACACCAGGTGACCACGAAGGCGTCATCAGGCCACCGAGAGACTGCCAGGAGACTCGCAGGAGAGCAGCAGGAGACCAGCCAAAATGCTTTCCCACACAAGTACTGCATTCGGAGCCACACGTAGCATGCTTTCCCGCAAGTACTGGCGAGATTCAGAACTTTCGAGGTCATGGCGGAATTTCTCTCCACCAAGCACTGGAGCTCAAGGAGCAGCACAAAAGTGATTTCCCCAAGTACAGCTATGCTTGCCCCTTGAGCTTGCGAGATCCAGACGTTTCCCTGATGTACTGCTGCGATTCAAGGTTTTCGCGAGAAAAACATGATCCATGTCGTATTATGTACACTGAATCCTGGCCCCTGGGCCCGCGCCGCACACGAATCCTCCACAATAGCTCGCCAGCTTTTTGTGCAACAGCGGCAGACTCGTGCCACGAGCATCCTGTGTAAATAACAAGACCTTGGGACCTGTTTGCCATCTCAATCAACACTCAGACCCCCCTTTAGTTCTAACGCAAGAACCCCATAGTTTTACCACCCTGTTTGGGGAACTAAGGACAACAACAACAACAACAACAAAGTGAGAATGATATAACAAACATACGAATTATTATACTGATTAGAATTACAATACGAATAAGTAAACGAAGACAAGAACAATATTAGGCGACAGCAACAGCTACAATAGACAACAAACTCGTAAACACAGAAGTAAGTAGCGATGCTAGAAAAGAAAATCAACAATGTGTTATCAGCATCCCAAGCGTGCGCCACTCGATGCATCGAGGTTCACGGATGGACCAGCCTGGTGCATTTGTTCTTGTGGTGCCCCCGCCGGTCCTTCAGCACCACACATATCTTTTAGGCCTGCGTTTTTAAGTTGGTTTCTTGCAACAGAACTCAACGTCGCAAGATTCGTTGCAGTTAACTTAGCCTTGGCTTTCTCCAAACGCAAGTGGAAACCTGGCCGGGAAGTTGTTGGGTTTTCGCCATCAAGTTACAATACCGCCAACGAAAAGGGGTTACATGTCCCGTAGAGCTTGGCAAAGCGGTAAATTAGACTGGATCAAGCATTGCAGATAAAGCACCTCCATACTGGTTGTCAGAACTGTACAAACCTCCGTCAGGAAGTAATGCTAGTCCAAGTCACATGGTACGTCGTACAAGCCGGAAATATGGGGAAAGAAGCCTTTACCCTGGACCTTACACGCCCGAAACCACAAAGCACAGTAGTCTCCGGGACCTGGAGTCGTCACCAGAGACAAGGAAACCAACGCGGGTCAACGCCTCCTGGTATGCCTCGCGGACCTGTCGCCATGTGCGTCTGTGTCACATGAGGTGGTGGTCGTAGAAGGAGAAACAGCAGCAGTGGTAGTAGGAGTCGCCAGTCGCTAGTAGTAGGTGGTATCCATATCCAGTATGTCTCGACTATATCATGTCGCAAGGTTGCAGCACAGCAGCAGCGGCAGCCGCCACGGGTGCAGCAGCAACAAAAGTATTGGTATTGCGCACTTGCACTACTTGTGGGAGAAGCTGCTGTAGGATACAGTAACGATAGTAATAAATGGCCTACATCTCCGAAGTAGTCTCAGGGTGAGAAAAGCAAAACCGAATGGTTCCCGAGGAGGACCTCGGGAACTAGAAGCCTGCAAAACCCTCAAAAATATCCTATTTGCACGTTATGGCGTGGAGTTACACGACTTTGGAGTAGAGGATTTTGGAGAGAGAGAGAGAGAGAGAGAGAGAGAGAAAGAGAGAGAGAGAGAGAGAAAGAGAGAACACACTTTCCGCCCCGTACTCGTCGTTTGGCTCAATACGGAGCTTCACCGACAGACTATGGTTTCAGGCTGAATTATATATGATCGGAGGCTTGAAGACGATCCAGTTTCCTTTGCCGACACATTGAGAGTCTTGCAGGAGCAACCCTGAAGGCAACTACAAGCTGTGGCTGCTTTGTGTCACCCTGAAACGCAAACTCTAGTGAAAACAGCTGGCAAAGCACATGCCCAAAACCCGCAAGCGAATCCAACCCGTCTCGGGCAAAAGGGCCATGCCCCTGGAAAAGCAACGAAGGCGACGCCTAATCCGCAAACCTCAAGGCATTCAACATCTACAGCGCGAACGAAGAGCACAGATTGGACAGCTTCAAGAGTCCCAGATGTTACACACATCGAAAAAGACATTGCGCTGTCTCGCTGCCTTTCAGTGAAAACTTGAGCAGCTCCAGTACTTGAATCACGAACCTGGAGCTATGCCCCATGCAATCCCTCATCCACTACATTTGCAGGCCATCCAAGCCTAAAAATCCGGCACTTGCATGTTGAAGGCCCTTTTCGCCGCGCGCGCACTCACACACTGCGACCGACGCACTAATATAATACATACTTGCATACATACATACACAGACATACATGCTTATATGATTTTGTGCCTGTTGTAATGCAATGAACGAAATACACACAACAGGATGCACACCTCAAACTGAATAATCCGCCGAGGCCACAGGCCTCTGGCGTCTTGGGCTACCTAATCCGAAAGTTTCGTGACACGCGCTGTTGGCCTGCAATTTCGACCCTCTCCCTCCCCGCCCCTCCCCTCACCCTCCCCGCGGTCCCTCCCCGCTCTCCATCCTCCACCAAATCCCCAGCCAAACCGAGTGGGTTGTGTCACACAGTGTTGCTCCGTTAAATGACTCAGTTCCTGGTACTGCTTCTACCAATCAAACTTCTTGGCTCGCATGGGTACCCACGCCTGAATCCGCCTCCCTGCAGCACAAAAGTGACACACGCTTTTGGTGTCCCTGAGTTGAAGACGCAGAGACACATGCTGCCGCCACAGTCAGGCCGAGGGGGACGGTGTAGCGTTAGAATTATACGATGATGAACGTGTAATGGGCATGTGGCAGGTGCATAATTTGCCCAATGTAGTGTGAACTTACCGAACTCTTCTCAAGCGCTTTCACATCAGATGGTATCGCACGCGCATCGTGTGGCAAATTAAGCACCTATTGCCAATGAGCATTAGTCAAACATGTACATTACTAAAAGGCCTGCTTGAACTCTTCGGCGCTGCCGCCGGCGTCAGGGTGAGCTTTGCGAATCCGCTCGCGAAAGGCCTCCGCTGAGGTCTGCCCTCGGGCTAGCAGTAATTACTGCAAAAGAGCAAGAGGGAAAACCGCAACAACACTGATGGGTATGCTACTGTCAGCAGACTTCCGTGTCGGAGTTTAAGGAGTACGTAAGCCTGCGGCAGCAACTACAACGTTGCCTAAAGAATGAAACTCAAACTGTCGGGCTGAGGGAAGCAAAAGCTAGAGGCGGTTTATGCAAAAATGGGATCCCTACTTGTTGGCGCTGGGCGCAGCGAAGGCGGAAGTGCGAACCTCAAGGCATTACCTACGCTACCGCCTGCAAGCGATCCGATGGGGGAATACCAAGCTCAAACATCCCGCAGCCGGCGCAATCCGAGACCCTGAAACGACAGCCCATATACATGCTACCCAACCGGAAACACATCGACCGTACAAGACGCAAGTCACGACTCGCAAGGGTTTGGAGGCTTACCGCATCAGATCTGTACGGGGATGAAGATCTGAAGCGATAGCAAGATTGCAACACCATCAAGATTGCGCGAACTACACCAAGAGACGATTGATAGGAGATCGCAGCTCCATGCTCGACAGCATGAACCGCTGCGGCCAGAGCCTTTCCCCAACACTTTTAGGCCAAACCTCGGGGGATCACGCTCCTGCTTAGCTCCATAACTACATTGTATTAGACAAACGAAACTAAAGGCAGCTGGTTATAGCTCAAAGTTGCATGAACCTCTACATCACAGCTCCGGGCCTTCTTGACCTCATCGCGCGTCGCACTCGACTCCACACCAAGCACAGTAAAAGGGTCTCTGCCCTGGGCCCGGCGAAGCCTGAGGCAGGCTCCATTGAGTCGTGTGAATCATGACCAAGTCCACGTCTCAAAGAGTTTGGGGCTGAGGGTCGAGGGCTTCGACATCTCAGCTCAGGGATTCCTGATCAAGGAGCCTTGCATTAATCACAACTGAGCTAGTGCTTAAATTCATGAGCGGGTCCTACGCGATGAGACTAAAACTTTCTGTATATGGACACTTGATAAATGATGTCTGGATTTGTGGCTGAGTTTTGTGTGGGGGCACGTATCACTGATCAGAGCAGGGTTTGGAGTAAATATTAATATTTCGGCATATGGAAATGAGCCCAGATCAGGTCGGGTCGCATCATAATTGCATGAATTTCAAAGGTCGGGTCGGGTCGTCAATCTCGTTCAATGGTTAGCCTTCGGGCCACTAATAACAAGGATCCGCTCTAGAAGGGGATGGGGCTGAGGTTTCGGGTTCTTTCGTTCTTTCCTGACACGATGCACCCGACCGCATCTAGGAACCAAACAGGAATGTCAGGGACGGCAATCCAACACCGGAATGGCCACACCACCTGGGGTCCCCGCCTCCAGCCTCCCCACAACCCGGCCCCTCCAGCACCCCCAAAACATCCAACGGTCCGGCATACTTCAAGCTCAGGTCGCTAAGTTCGATTTCCATGTCGGGTCGCTATTTCCGTTAATATGGGGGTGAGGCTGGGAGATGAGAACCTATACGCTGAACTCCCTGGCATGTTTTTCGGGAAGACTCCTGAGAAACTTAGGTCCCGACAAAACCACATTAATAAATCAGAGGCTGTTTTCGGGGGCTCTGGAAAACGTCGCCGAACACACGGTTCGCAACTGCGACACTGGGCCGTTGCAAGGCAAAAGATGGGAGTTTCCCCCAAAACAGAAGATTTTGGGAAGGAGTCGGACTCAAGGACGAGGAGCATCCGCCCTGGTGGCCGCGAATAGGGCCCGCGGTGGCTGACAAAGACGCTGCAGGCGCCTTCTGGGCTGCTGATGCCCACCCTCGGTTGGGTCAAAGAGGGTGGTTGTGCCATGATACCCTTAAATGAGCCATTGTACCAACACACTGCATTGCGTGTATGAGGTACAAGCATGCACAAAAACAATCGTAGGAAAGCACAAGCCTATCGCAACTTCATGTGTAGGAAGGTGTATATGTGCATGCATGTACAAGTGCATGAATGAATGTGTGCTTCCGTTCATGCACCTGCTATGATGGATACAGTAGAGGCAACTGTATGCGATATGGATTCGGCTGCCACATGCATATGCTTGGCTTGCAGGGGGCCAGACTCGGCAGACGCGTAGACCAGGGTCCAAGACCGAATCTAGGACGCCCGGAACCCGTCGGATGCTCAAGGCTGCAAGCCGTGAAGCTTGCTTGCGACGAAGGCTCCAAGCGAGGGTCTCCTTCGCAAGATGACAACCCAGCAGCGCGCCGCCCAAGGCAGCCGCCCTTGTGTCCGGATGCGGGGAGGAGCTATGTTTCAGAGTTTAGAACAGTTTGGGTCCGGATTGATGTAGATTCGGATGAAGGAAATGGCTTCGCCAGGCTCAACCCACTCAGGGTTTAGGGGTCAAGGTCCTACAGGGTTGAAGGTTTAGGATGCAGACTGCCATGTATATATGTGTATACATATATGTATAAATAAATAAATAAATATATATATATATAGAGATGTAGGTGTTAAGCGGGTTTACGTTCAAGCTTCGGTTCGAATAGCTCCGTAGCTCAGGGCGCAATCTTGAAATTTGAAGCCGTCCAACCCTACGGCACAAACCATACGCACAACTTCCAGGTGCCGGATTACGATGATCGGTCTGATCCGGCAAGCCAAAGCTGGCCGAGAAAGACATAGAACTACGTATTGACATGCAAATGTAAGCAAAACTCTGAGACCTTTACAGTAAACCCGAACTCTTTAGCCAACGTCTCTCGATAGCCTTGCTTGTACCTCGCCCCGAGGTCTTGAGACGTGAACCCTCAAAGTGCGGCGAAGTCTTGTGATTTAGCAGTCTCGAGTGCTACTGAATGAGAGAGACTTATGGTGTCGCGCTTCAGGCTTATGGTTTAGGGCTTTTTGAAACTAAATGTGACGGCTCAGTGTGACTTTCCATGAGGGACCTGGCAAGGAGGGAACCAGCGCTGGTATGTCCAAGCGACATGGCCGGAGAAGGAACCGCGGGCAACTTGAGTTTCAGGTTTTGGGGTTGATCCACTCTGCAGACTCACTCTCGGAGTGTATCATTGGTGGGTTGAGGGTCTTGAAAGCATGGTATAGCAATGCTGCCTGCACAATCTACAATTGCACAGGCTTGGGATTCGGCAATGGATAACTTTGCTATCACAACCTTGAGAGAAGCGTTTCTTTTCTTGTGATAAATCACACACCAATTTGTGATCTACCCGATTTTACATCACAAGTGCTGAGCCATCGGAACTTACACGGCCTGGCAAGTGCGGCAAGTCGGTGCGGCCATGGCGAACGATCCGGGAAAAGCGAAGGCACCACCGCCACTTTTTGCAGAAGCGTGCCTTGACAGGTCCGCAGTCAACGAGATTCTCAGGGACAAACCCCACGTTCACCGCGGAAGTTTCCCAACTCGCTGAGTACTGCAGGCAGGGCTCCTGTCACCTCGCGTGGACTCACAAGAGCATGCGATCCTGCACGACCTGCAAACCTCCCCATCCTGGTCTTTTGTTTTCGTGACGGTGGCTGGGTCCACAATGATATCGATGAAGCTCTTGATGTCTCAAGACAACCAGCACGACCTTTCAGGTATTCCATGGCCCGTGACTTCAGTGAAAACAACGCCCAGGCTAACGGCTAACATGAGAGAATGATGGTCATGTCGACTGCCGTCACATTCTCTGAACAAGACTTTCGTTTCCTCTGAGGTGCCACCAATCGCAAAAGAAACTCATCGAACCAAAATTCGGAGTAGTCCCGAATCTCATCCACGTCATGCTGTGGCTGAGGATGATCCTGCGTTTTCATGGCCTAGATTCGCTGCCTTACAATTGAGATTCTCATTCAAGCTGATACCCTACAAACAGCCTGTTCGCGAGAGGTGACTTCCGTTGGTCTTGCAACCCATAAGTGCATGCCAGAGGCCCGCATGGCCCCTTTGAGGCGGTGAGACCCTAGCTGCCATGGCGAGATGTCCAAAGACGAACGATTGATTTACAGCAAGACGTGAAGCCATAGCACAACATACCTCACAACAGTTTTCTGTTCATCAAGGCGTCTAGAATGCCAGTACAAGGGCTCGAACCATGTAATTAAGACTACTGTTTGGATCATCTCTCCAGGCCCTCACGTAGGTCTGCCTCCTTTCCGAGTCGCTGAGAACCTCCCAGCTCGAGTCAGTTCCAAGGTGGAGTTAGACCTTTGACGTGAGGTGCTTTTGACTACGCGCTCATACGAGTTGTTATACAATATCGCAGAAAATGTGAGGGTTGTTGCAAAAAAGGGCTTTGGGAAACGTAGCTAACTAAGACGGAGCTGGTTAGGGTTGACAAGCCTGCCAAGAATATCCGAATTTCATGCAAATGTACGATGCGATTCCTCGGAGGACATGCAGGGATCCGCTGGATGCGGTTGGTTTAGCTGGCAGTAGCACTCGGGGTGTGCAAGCACAAAAGACTCCGGTGCAACCTGGCTCTACTTCGATGGCGAGGACCCGAGCAGAGTCAAGAGCGAATCGTCAAATAGGCTGTGCAGCAGCCGCCTCTGTTGCAAATGCTTGAGCTGCTGTTGTCGTTGTTGGCGTTGCTGCAGTAGCAGTAGCAGTAGCAGCAGCAGCAGCAGCAGCAGCAGCAGCAGCAGCAGTTGTTGTACAGAACTGCTGTATCCCTAGTCCCTATTTGGAATGTCCGCCATCTAGAACTCCGGGCTCAGCAAGTTCACTGCGTACCTGCCTCGAATGCCCTCTGCAACTCCTTGAAAGCGTCGGGATCACCACCCTGAGCCCGTTTTGGCACTCTTTCATCTTAGGAGTCAGTTCCGCCTTGTGGCAGGCCTTTGCGTTCTGAACCCACCCAAATACCTCTTTCGGCCACAGCGTTGCAAATGAAGTCGAATCAAGGGCTTCTTGGCCCAGTCTCTACCGAAGGCTGGGCGGGGGGGGGGGAATCCGTTTTCTCAGCAGCCTGGTCACCGAGCACTAGTACATGCTCCTGCTGACGAGTATTAAATATTGTCATAGCTGCCGCTCTGATTACGCATCGTTATCATAATTTCATAACTTATAGTAAGTTGAAGTCAATGCCTACTAAGACTACTAGTCGACAACACTATCGTTCTCAATTCCACGAAGGCGTGCATACGATCAAGCCTATGCATGAACGGCCATGTGTCCTGCGCATCGTTCAACCTCTGTCCAGGCAGAAATTGCGGCACCATCGCGAGTTTAGGCTTGCTGTCTGCGACAGCCATCACTTATGATATGGCTGTCGCTCTTGAACCGATAATCTGATGATCATCACTTTGTGCAGTATCGTTACTATCGCCCCGCTGCTCATTATGATTGTGGTCATCACAGCGCCACACCTTGTCGGGATGGTGCATCTTGGCCATCTTGTGGTAGGCCTGCAGCACACGTCTCTTTCTCTCCTTGCAATGTTGAGAATTGCAGGCTTCGGGCTCAGGGCCCAGGCCCATGAACCATGAGCCCTGAACGCTGACTGCTAGGATTCTGAGCCAATTCGGATAGAACAAGAGGCAGAACCCGTGGTGATGTACATTGCTGGTTCCGTTCGGAAATCACCAAAACACAATACTTCTGAGCGAGATGCCTCAGAGTCAGTCACTTCCAGGATGACGGCATGCTGTCCTCTTTGAGAAGACACGCCAAACGTTACTCCAGCCCGTGAGTACTGGCCTTCTTGATGTCGGTGCTGCTCGCATCCTTGTCGACCCCCAGGAGATCGTACAAACGGGAGTTGTCCACCTGGAAGTCTTCTGGTTGTAGGGGGGAAACAACAACGACGAGGAAACGGTTATCGCAGGGTCACACTGACAAACTCGCATAAGCAAGAACAGCCAGATATAGCCAGATGAATCGAAGGTCAGGCAGATCGGTTCACTGATCCAACGCGCCAGAGAAACGAACCCAAGCCGGGTTTTGACTTGAAGCCTCGAGCTTTCAAGATCTGACATGAAAATCATCCGAAAAGCCTCAGAAATTTGTTTCAGGGTGAAGGGCTTTGGGGTCTGATCAACCCCCAGTGGAACTACAGATTCATGCCTCAAATGCCGTAAACTAAAGTTGAAACCCCTCGAACCTTCCAAGTTACAGCCCAAAGTGATCAACCCTGACATCTAATTCACCCAAACCGCTACTCGTCTTGAGCCTGGGAACCTCAATCAAACACTGCAAGCCCTAAGCCCGAGAAACCCCAAAGAACCACGTCACCTCCCGGCCATCAGATGGCTCCTCCGCATCATCCTGTCTCGGGTTCTTGGTTCGTTGGGGTTCAGGGTTTTTGCAACATTTATCGGTTGACAGTTCCGGCTTTATCTGTTTAGGTGCTCAGCGCTCAAGGTCTACACAAAAAACGGGTCAGGGGCATTGGTGTTGTATTGCATATCAGAGCCTAGTGGTGGGGAGGGTGTGCGCAGAGTGGTCGCGTATCTGAGGCCCGACATGGTATAGCTCTGCCGCTCTGCCTGCACTAAATTCGAGGACAACAAGCTGACAATGAACCCCAGACAATCCGAAGATCTCCAGGCGAAACATTCCGAATCCCACCGCTCCCTGCTAAAACTGTAAAGCCTCTCAAAACCCGGAGTTCATAAACCACCACTCGCGAAGCCGCAAGGACCTCAATCTCGATACTCGATAAGACTCGATTAGACACACCGACCCATTTGAGTAAACAAAACACCCCAAGACCCCGGAAGAGAAACACAAAGCTGGCCAAACTACCTGAAGGCAGAATCTCCCAAACCAAACCGAAAATCCGAAAGCATGGCACAGGGGGTCACCGTCAGAATAGGGTTTGGGTTGTATTCTACCCGAACTCGTAGTGAAGCTCATGCCAAGCTCTTCGCACCGACGCCACAAATTCCACATCGAAATCCCGGATGGTGCTCCTCGCGGTCCTCCTTATCAACGCCCCCTTTGCCTGTCAAGGCCATGACTTCGCTGTGTCGTTGTGATGTGTCACGGTTTTGGAAGGGGCCGTGACGGAGGGGCCGGGGGCTTCAGGTCTCAAGTCAGGATCTCTAGGGTGCCCAGACAACAAACCAAGCAGTGCCTGGAACCAACGTAGATGGGCAGAAACGTCTACCATTTCATGCGACACTCCATGAACCCGTACAGCTTTACAAAGCATCCCTGCTGCCTCCCTGGATTCCTAGGACATGAAACATGCATGTAAATACGAGCTTGCCCTAGTCCGAGGCCCTTGTGGGTTAGTAGCCACTTAGGGCGAATAGTCGGCTTGGCTATATCGGTCAACATGAAAGAGCAAGTCCTGTAAGCGTACTTCATATGTAAGTGGCATGTGTTAAGTGTATCATGTGTGTTAGTATTTACGTTCAAAAACTCCGGACTTTTCTGTTCCGAGGACTGATAAGCGCTTCAGGTCATGTGGCACTATAAGGCCGGAAAAATTTTACGGCGCTCAAGTCTTTTGGCCTTCAGGCTGACGGCTTGAATCAAAGCTTGACTTGGAACTCGGAAATTCGACGCCACTAAGGAAAGACAGGAGATATTAACTGGCATCGCCGAAGTACAGCATGTCGGGCAAGTCGACTAATTTCAGTGAGTTAGCCAGCGGACTTTTCCAGCCCTATGTGGACATAGCGGAGACTTGGCTAAGTTGATTAAGTCAAGAACTGGGAACGCATTTTTTTATGCAGAAGTGGAAGGATATTTGCAGTACAACTTAAAAAAATAGTACTGGAAATGGCTCGTTTGGGTCCTGGCTGGACTGCGCTGGGTTGTCGTACAACTTTAGTACTGGAGATGCGTCGTTTGAGGTCCTGGCTGGATTGTGCTTGGTTGTAGTAGAACTTCAGTACTGGAAATGTCTCGTTTGGGGTCCTGGCTGGATTGTGCTTGGTTGTAATACAACTTTCGTACTGGAAATGTCTCGTTTGGGTCCTGGCTGGATTGTGCTGGGTTGTAGTACAACTTCAGTACTGGAAATGTACCGTTTAGGGTCCTCGCTGGATTGTGTGGTGCAACTTTACTACTGGAAACGCCTCGTTTGGGGTCCTGGCTGGATTGTGTTGGGTTGTAGTACAACTTTAGGGCTGGAAATGTATCGTTTAGGGTCCTGGCTGGATTGTGCTTGGTTGTAGTACAACTTTAGTACTGGAAATGTCCCGTTTAAGGTCCTCGCTGGATTGTGCTGAGTTGAAGTACAACTTTCGTACTGAAGATGTTTCGTTTGGGGTCCTGGCTGGATTGTGCTTGCTTGTAGTAGAACTTTAGTATTGGAAATGTCTCGTTTGGGGTCCTGGCTGGATTGTGCTTGGTTGTAGTACAACTTCAGTACTGGAGATGTCTCGTTTGTCTCGTTTCGGGTCCTGGCTGGATTGTGCTTGGTTGTAGTACAACTTTAGTACTGGAAATGCCTTGTCTAGGGTCCGGGCTGGATTGTGCTGGGTCATAGTACAACTTTAATACTGGAAATGTCTCGTTTGGGGTCCTGGCAGGATTGTGCTTGGTTGTAACACAGCTTTGTTTCGGAAATGCCTTGTTTTTTGGGAACGGGCTGGATTGTGCTAGGTTGTAGTGCAACTTTAGTACTGGAAATGTCTCGCTTGGGGTCCTGGCTGGATTGTGCTTGGTTGTAGTACAACTGTAGTACTGGAAATGACTTGTTTGGATCTGCCTGGCCCTGCCGGCTATGTCGACTTAGCCGACTTAGGCCAACTCACCGCTAACTAGTGATCTGACTTCGCATAAGTCTGTTTAGTGACGTACTGTACCTCTCCTTTTTTGACATATCCTAAGTCAGTTCAAGCCCCCAGCTGAGACTTCACAATTAACTCCTTTGAGTCACATAGCCGAAGTCAGCCAAACAGATGTTAAGTCCACTAACCAACTACTAAACCGAAGTGGCCTCCAAGTAGAAATGAAACCTTAGCTAAGTCTCAAATGCTACTGGCTAAGCCCTCAAAACTGGGAGCTTGCCCACTCTGACGTGCCGCCGCCTTTGCCGAAGGCACTCGGTGGGATGCCTGGGCCGAGATCTTTGGCATCGGCAGCGGGGTAACCAGCATCCAACCTCAATACGGCTGAAGATCAATCAGAAAAAGCTGAGACTGCTCGTGAACAAACCATACTGCAACAGACCACAACGTATCACTATGGACCACGCTAGACTCTGATAGACTTCTTCCCCCTGCCGTGGTGAAGTATAAGCGATGATCAGCTGCTGTGTGAAGAACTCGTCTTTCCCATCGGCACGGGGCTTTCATAAATTAAGGAACCCTTGAGAAACTAATGGTCTTACTCCATGTTCGGAAACTGCGGGATAGGAAGGAAGCCTAAACCCGAAAATGCACGCGCCTAGCCTCGCCCCGGAGTGGCAGCAGCGCAGAGGTCTTCGCAGGCATTCGACGCGGAGGAGGATGCAGGCTCCCGTCGAGCACAGCGCAGCTGGCTTCTTGGAAGCTCTTGTCTGGGCTGCGGCCAAATCTCGGCGCTGGGCGGCCTGCACTGAACTCGACGATCGAGGCGGGTGTTTTTCCAATCTCGGCGCTGGGCCAGAAGCTCGAGCTCGGAGCCTTCGACGTCCATTTTGAGGACTGTGCGACGTTCCGTCAAAGCTTCCTCGAGCGAGATCACTGGCACCAGCGTTGTCGAGCAAAGGGTGCGCAACAGCGTCTGGCAAGACGACAAAGAAGACTTCCAGCTTCCTGTCGTGGAGCCTGCAAAGTTTGAGAAAGACAAGCACAGTCGCAGCGGCCCGCACCGAACTCGACGAGGCGGGTGTTCTTCCAATCTCGGCGCTGAGCGGCCCGCACTGAACTCGACGAGGCGGGTGTTCTGCCAATCTCGAACCGTCAACAGAAGCTGGTGCTCGGAGCCCTCGAGGTCCATCTTGAGCGCCCACAGGAAAAAAATCCTCCAAGACACAAAGAACAGTTTCTGTGCAGCAAGCCTTTTCAAACAATAATCTCTTTAACCGAAGCAAAAACTGCAACTGAGCGAAACTTCAGAAACATCCAGCTCACGCCCGGGAACAAGAAATCCCTGAGATCACCGAAACGCGCAACTGCAAAACAAAACAACGTATCCCCCCAACGCAGTGCTGGGCTCTTATGTTGGAAGTAAAGATACTTGGTCAAGGTTAGTGTAGCACACGCGGAATATTCCACGCTCCCATTGTGGTGCGGCGCATAGTTTGCGCTCATGTCCCGTTACCCCCGGTGCAGTTGTGTCCTTCAGGAACTGGGATTCACTGTAAAAGCCAATACATTGGCCTGAATTTGGCCTCGGAATGGCTGAATCTCACCGGGACCGGGGGAAGCATGTGGGCCATGGAAAACCCGCTGGAAGTACATGATGGGGGAAGCATGTTGGCCGCTTGCCTGAATTCGGTCAATACAAGGGTGGGGGGCAGCGTGTTGCCCATGTTTCTGAATCCGCCAGTGCATGTGGGAGGCGTTTTAACATGTGGCGGTGGTCCCGAATCCCACGGACAAATGAAGGGGAAGTATCGTGGTCGTGTCTCTCTGTATCCGACCGGTAAATGGAGAGAAGCTTTTTGACCGGAGTCCTGATATGTTCTGGTCGTCTCGGTGTCCTGGTGGTCTTTTGGCGGTCTCCGGGTGGTCTCTTTGGTGGTCACCCCTTGGTTTCCCCGTGGTCTCCTGGTGGTCGTGTTCTCATCCCCGTAGTCGTCGTCGTGGTCGTCTTCG